TTGGTCTGCTGCAACTGCCAGGGTGGAAGTTTTGAGGATTTTTAGATTAGTCAGTATGCATTTCTAAAAAGTAGTCCTTTGAAAATTTAGTTTGGCTTTGTATTGTATCCCATCTCTCTGTTCCCCCACCCCACCCCCCGCCATTATTTTCAGAAATGTTGAATTATAATAACAGTAGACCGTATTCTGGGATATTTATTTCATATCTTGATACCAATTTCTTATGGGCTCAGAGGAAGATCAGTTACCAGTCAGAAAACAATGCTTTCCTGTCTGATAGCAAGTGGTTAAAATGAATGACCAGGAGTACTACGGGGTATATCTGAAAGGGTTGTATTCCTTCCCATGTAACAGGATTAATTTATGCCTGTCATTTCTAACTTTGAAAATCAAGATCAAAACTATAAACACAGAAATATTTCAGTCATCTCTGAAATTAGTTCTTTACAGAACTATTGGCAAAATAATTAGGAGTTTAACAGTTCTTTAGTTTACTGGCATTTATGTGAGTTTTCAAGAAATAGTTGTTGCCCATATGACATTGTTAGAGTTTTAATAACGTAGATCATGTATTAAAGTATATGAAAAGTGTTCTGAGGATTGTATGCTCTTTCAATTAGGAGGTGCCTATATAAATATATAAACCACACTTTCAATATTACATTAAATCTTATTAATAATATTTATTTTCCTTTACTAATTATGAAGAATTGAACTTAAGGATGAGTTGGATAAATATAAGACTTTTGGATTGCTTTTTCTGCCTGTGTAGAAAGTGATGTTGAACTTCTTTTTAAGTGAAGTGTCCTAGGAATGTTATGTGTTCGTGTGCAAATTAGGGGTGTCTGCCTTTTTTTCTAACTGGGTATCTCTGTTTTCTGTGTTCCAGATCTACAGTGGTTAAACACTGAAGGTCCTATTTCTCTTCACAAAGACCTTTGTGGAAAAGTTGTGGTGTTGGATTTCTTTACTTACTGCTGCATCAATTGCTTGCACCTGCTGCCTGATCTCCATGCATTAGAGCACCAGTACTCTGATAAAGGTAAAAGTGCTTTGGCTTGCTTGGAATAGAATTTCCTGGCAGTGTTGCAGGCGGAGTAGCTGAGTCACTTTGTTGCTGATTACTAAACAGCTGGCAAAATTTCAGGGGTGCCTAAAAATGTCTTCTTATCTTTTAAGCAGCCTAAAAAAGGTGACTGTGTATACTCTCATCACATTTTTAAATGGGGTTAAATAAGGTATCTGTTGTGTCTATATAATTAAAGAAACAGGATATGTGCTTAAAGCCCAAATCTGATATCCTCATAAATAAGGCTATTTGCAAAAAGCTACACAAGGATGTAAGGTACGGGCTCAAAGTTAATCTATACACGTAACCCTCTACACTTGACTTAGGAACCAGCTGTGAGCAGAACATAGTAAAGGTACTAGAATGGATATAGTTAAGATTACTTGTTTGTTCCACTCTAACTGAAATAACAAATTATGTAAGCTTAGTTTAGAATTGTTTTGGTTTTGGCATCACCTTATATACCATTAATAGTCCTGTATTCTGGAGAGGGAGTTAAGCTCTTTAGATTTCATCTCAGTTGCGACTTTATCTCTTTGAGTGAATAAAAATGCAAGGTAATTACTATTTAGAATGCAGTCTGTTGTCATCATGATGACTTGTCAGAGCTAAGCTGTGGTCTTACAGAACGTATCAGCTACTTACTTATCTTGGATAATTTAATAGACTGAACAGTGAGATGAAGAACAGTTACTTTCAGCCCTAAAAATAGTATATTAAAAATAATGTATATATGTAATAAAAATAACATTATCTTATAATGTTTAAGTGTCTGATTCTGCGTTGGAGTTTCTGATTGATTTAATTTTGGCAGCATTTTTTTTTCATGTGTTACCTACTTTCACTAGAATAAGAAATTATAATTTCTTTGAAATTTCAAGTTCTGTAAGTAGTTCACTTACATATTGTAGGTTTATACAGCACTTCACAGAAGACTTAAATAACTGATTTTTCTACCTTGCAAAGCTTAGCTGTTTGCTTTGAAGAAATTTGAGATCTTGTATAATGTTTTAGATATGAGAAACTTTAACAAGGAAAAACTGTCATGGCATTTTTTTGGGAGGGATGCATTTTTGTGTGGAAGGTGTTTAGCAAATGATAAATGGATTGCTGTGGCTATGACGTGTGCTGGGAAGAAGGTCTGGATTGAGATTTCAGAAGATTACACTGATCATATAATGAATAGTATATTTAAATGTTAAACATTAGTATGGTGTTATTGTATTAATATAGCTGTCATATCCTTAATCTGTTTTTTAAGACCAAGCTTTTAGATTAGTTGATAATAAAAAATTAATTTTATCAACCTCTCCCCACAAGCTTTCTCTTTGAAGTATTTGAATATCTCTCTACTGGTGTAGAAGAGGCTGCAGCACTCTGAACTGAACTGGAGGTCCACTTGGAGACACTTTTCTTTGTTTGACTTGTGTTAAACTTCCTGTCATAGCAGTTATTACTTGAGGAAAGTACTATGCTAATAGGTGATAAATTCTTTCTGCATTTGAGCTATCCTAATAAGTTCTTTTCTTGAGCTGTCCTGTTCCTACAGGAACCGGAGTTAGAAAAAAGATACTTGGGATGAAAGTGGAAAAACAAGTGGAGGTAAAAGGAAAGAAGAGCAGGTGTATGTAACATTAATCTTAAATTTAATGTGTTAGGAAACAGAGGATAGCAGTTGGATTCAGGAAGAGATTAAGATGCTTGATGGTTCAAACAAAAAGAAAAATACGTTTGTTTTTTTACTATAGATCTCCTTTGGGTTGTTTTCTGTTGTTTCCATGTTTCAATTGTCAACCTTTTCAGGATTAAATAATCTTTCTTCCTGTGCTAAATTAGAAAGAATGTCAGACATATGAAAATGCTTTAAGAATGTCTAGATACATTAATGCAGGTATCTTGGTATTCGGCCTTATTCTGGAGTTTCATTCTATTTTCATCTACTCTCTTCTTTAGTTAATGGAAATCCCTTCTCCCTTCAGGGGATGGGGGACAGGTTCACTTTTGGTTGGGTTGGTTCCAATATCTATCAGCTTGTTACTGCAAAAACTGATTTTGGTGCAAAAGATGAGCGACATGCTTTCTTTTGGCAGCAGCAAGTCAGATTAAATATGTAGTGAAACTGCAGCTTTACTAAACTTCAGGTTTTTAAAGATAGCATTTACGTACACATTTCATGTATATATTTATCGTGCCATAGAAGTGGCAGAGGGTGCTGACCTAGCAGACAATATTAGTCAGAATGAAAACAACATCTTACCGGAGTACAAAGCATATATCTCATAATGCATTTGGATCTTTAATCCAGTGTTTGAATATTTGAAGGAACATTGTCTATATTTTTCTGCATACCTAAGAACCTGGGTATAATTCACAGCAGTGTCTTTTTTTGATTGTACATTGTGCACATATATTTTTGGTACTCTGATGGATTTTTTTTTTTTTTAGTGTGGTTGAAATGCGTTCTTATGTGGAGTATGTTGAAACTTCAGCAGTGTGATCATCAGCCATGAGAAGTCTGAACACAAGAAGCTGTAGTTTTAGGGTGATCCTAAACCATTATATGTATCATTGTACAGATGCACATAGTCCTATTGTCTGGAACGTCAGGAGATCTGTTTCAAAATGAAGACTGCTGTCCATAGGATTAAATGTCACCTAGCATCTTTATCTGATATGTTCTCGCTGCTATCTTCAGTGGTGCTATTTCTGTTTTTCAAGTGGCATTCAGAAAGTTATTTTAAACCCCAGTGCATATTCAGTTCATGTTATCAGCAGTCCAGAAATGACTTCTATAAGAGGGAGTACTTTTTAATATTCAAAAATAGCTTGGCATAACTCCAGTGTTGTGCTCTGGTATAATCCTTCAAATAAAGTGTTTTAAATGCTGTGCATATTCTTGTATCTCAGCATAGCATCCGTCAGTTTCCACAGGAGTTTTCTTCATGAAAGGAAGTTATAACTTGTGCTGTTCCGGTGTTCAGTGTAGAATTGTCTTTCTAACTTTGATGATATTTTTGAAGGACAAATAGAAGTGCTGATACTGATCCTATTATAGTTAAAATGTTTGACCTGCTGTTTGGAGTTCAGCAGTTAATGATACTACAACTTCAGCTGTCTGACATTGCAACAAGCTGTGCCTATAGGATTGATAAAGACTGTATCAGTTATAGTGATTTTTTTTTTAATTCTGTATCTGTGAAGTTGTTATATTCAATGAAGTCTTTTATTGTGCAGCGCTTTACCCTTTCCTGTTGTCACATTGAAATATTACCATTCCTGCAGATGCTGTTCTTCTCCATTAACACTGTTTTATGGTTGAGGAGAAAGGCTAAAAGAGAAAAATAGTTTTCCATTTCACTGCAACTGAATAAAAAGCCAACCTGAGATTAAATTAGGTTTTTTTAAGAAGGAAACAAACTTGTCTGAGCTCAAATAATACAGCTATTTAAGACCTGAAATAATTCTTTCTTACATATCTACCACAAAACCAGAGGTGAGGTTAGAACAAACATGTCCAGCTAGCCAGATTGCACCTCTACTGTAAAGGTAGGAGAAAAGCATAGAAATAAATACTATATTCCATTCCAAACTGTGTCCTTGGATGCAGTTGTTTACAGTTGTTAACTTTTTGGGCCCTGGTTCAAGCCCTTTCTGATCAGAGGAATGGTTTCACCATTCTTGCAATTGGCAGACTCCACTGACTGTAACTGCAGGGCTTTTGGAGGACTGTTTTATAAAAGCATTTTATTTTTACATATTTGTTTGAAGTTTTACAAATAGGGAAGCCGTTTAATGGACTAGGTAGTAAACGCCAAATAACAAGAATGATCTGATATGTAAATTTCCAGTTCGGAATGAATTGTTGTGTGACACGTAACAGTTGATGCTAGAAGAAATAAACTGTATAAGATAGGTGAGTTATTGCAGAAAAAAGTACACTTCTTGTGGATTAAAAATCGAAGAAATAAACTGTATAAGATAGGTGAGTTATTTTTTGTGGATTAAAAATTAAAAATGCTAGAACACTAAATAAGTAAAACTGTTTTCTTTGATAAGGAGAAAGGTGCATTATACAAGCTGCAGAAAGTTATTTTGTGTGTGGTTTTCATTCTCAGAGAGCTAATTCTGGCTTTTGCTAATTGCAATTGCAGCTGGAAGTGTGAAAAGAGAAAAACTGGGGGAAGAGAAGTACTATTCTAGCAACTATGAGAAGCTAGAAGATGAGAAATAGATTAGTAAGCAAGGTGATTGAAAATATTTAGGTTATGTTCTGATTAGATTTGTGATAAACTGATGAAGTGTTTTCCTGATATAAGAAATGGTTATATTTGAATGAGAAAAAAACTACCTTCTAAAAGTTACGTATTTGTTACTACGAGTAAGTAAAACAGTTCATACTCTGAAGTTATCTTAAAAGTTTGCTCAGAAAACATTTATTTAAAAAATTGTCTTTTCTAGATGAGTGTCCTTTCAGGAGGGCTTTTTGCATTGGCTGTTGTTTAGGATAAAGCATAACAATATTAGAGTAAGCACCAAATAACAGAACTTGCTTACTTAGAGATTCACATTGCATATCTGCCTTTGTCCTTTATAACTAAATTGTATTGTGCTTATCTAAATTTAATAGCTGTTCAACCAAACCTATTTTGTCTATAAGAGCACATACAGTATTTTCAAATACAGTGAGTATTTATATGAGCACAAATTTGCCTGATTTAAGAACCATATGAAGTTCTTCAAGCATCTACACTTGCTTACACTCTGAAGTACATCATCATCAGAATTGGATTAGGTTGGATAATGGCTGTTCTTCCTCCATGCCACCTTGTACAGACTCCAGGTCTTCTCTGCTTTTTGGTACTACTTGTATTAATGAAAAAATAGGGTACTACAAGGAATCCACCTATAGATATTGGTGTCTGGGGGAAGGAAGGAAATGCCACAGATACTTGAATGCTACTGATAAAAGGGTTTATAAATGCTAAATGTTTTTATAGACCTGACTGGGGGAAAAAAAAAAGTACTTTTTTTTGTTATTGTCAAAATCATTTGCAGTACTGCAGTAAAATTAACTCAAGTTGGGTGTCAAGTCTAAGGATATTTTACTTTCCTGTTTAATTTCACTCCTCAAAATAACACAAAAGATCAGATGAAAATTTAGAACTTTTACTTGGACAAATATGTAGAAAGATCCCAATCATTATTCGTGGTTACAAAATGCTTGCACTATCCGGAAACATCAGTAATTTTTTGATAAGTAGTAAGGTTAATGTCTAAGGATTTCCATTAAATTAACGGTTCTGGTTTAAAATTACTGTATTACAGCTTTCTACAAGTGCATGGTGACTTGTTATTTTCCTTATTTCAGTTAGAATTGACAAGTTACTTTGAATGTAACAAGATTATGCTTATGGCTAATAGTATTTTTTACCTACAGAGTGAGACGAGGTATGGTATTGATGTCATGTGCACAGGTTACTTCATTTGGTAGAGATTATGCTAGTAAAACATAATTTAAAGCCCTGAAAAAGGATGTAATCTTTTTTTTGTCTCCCCCACCCCAC